AATAGTTGTTAAATGTTCTAAGAAATGTGTCTAATCCCGCCTGTTGTGGAGGTGTGGTTTTTTTTTTTAACCCTTCTTCTAATTTACATTCTTTGCTGTCACTTTTAACTGACTCTATAAATCAGGGACCTCATCTCTTTATTCAACACTGTATTGCTCAGTATCTGGTAAGTGGTTGGTGCTCAGCAACTATATATTAAATTAATGCATAAGTTATTGATTCTGCTTGAAACAGAGAAGTTATGAAGAATAAACTAATTTGAACTGGGATCTGAAGGATAAATAGAATTGTTCCAACAGAAGGAGGAATAGGGAAGAAAGGGAGAAGAAAATACTAAAGGGAAGGATAAATGGGACCATAATGAAACTGACCTGTGAGTCTCCTGAAGCCTGGGTTCTCCACATGATATGACCTCCAGTCTGCTTTTTATGACATGTAACTAGTGATTCATCTGTCAGGCGCTTGGGACATGCTTGTTGAATGAATGAGCATAGCATATGAACTCATCTATAACTTTTTTGAGAGAAAGGTGTTAGGTTAGGCAGAAACTAATCTTACCTCCTGGTAGTGAGGGGTCTTTTAAATATAAACTCAGCAAAAAATATTTTAAAGTATTTTAAAATGGCTAAATTTTGCATTGTTGAATATAACAAAAGTGAGTTCAATTTATGTATGTCAAATTACTTTTCATCAGAGCACAGTCACTTGCATTGTTTCTTTAAACATTTTTATTGGCATGTAGTTGATTTACAATGTTGTGTCAGTTTTAGGTATATAGCAAAGTGAACTGTACATACACATACACCCACTCTTTTTTGATTCTTTTCCTGTATGGATCCTGACAGCGTATTGAGTAGATTTCCCTGTGCTATACAGTAGGCCCCTGTTTGTTATCTATTTTTTACAGCAGTGTGTATGTGCCAGTGCCAACCTCCCAGTTTCTCCCTCTCCCCTATCCTCCTGGGTAACCATGCTTTTGTTTTTTTATATCTGTGATTCTGTTTCAGTTTTGTAAGCAAGTTTATTTGTACCATTTTGGGGGCTCCCTTGGGGGCTCAGACAGTAAAGAATATGCCTACAATGCAGGAGACCAGGTTCAATCCGTGGGTTGGGAAGATCCCCTGGAGAAGGGAATGGCTACCCACTCCAGTATTCTTGCCTGGAGAGTTCCATGGACAGAGGAACCTGGCAGGCTACCGTCCATGGGGTCGCAAAGAGTCTGACACAGCTGATGAGATTCCACATATAAGCAATATCATATGACATTTGTCTTCCTTATGTTGCCTTCTAACATATCATATGCCTAGTGGGAGATTGCTAACCCTTAGGGTTAGCCCCGAACCCTTAGACCAAGTCTTACGCAGGAAAGACTAGTCTTTAGGTCAAGGGGAAAGAAGAGTGAGCCGTGCATCTTTCGTAGGATGATGCAAATCAATAGCAAGGAAGCAGAATTGTAATGGGTATAAACACATTTTTTTCCTGAAAGACTAAACAATACAGAATTTACAGTTATAATGCTTTTACAACCACTATTCACATTTCTTTTTCTATGAGTTTATGAGCCAGTTACTTAAATGTCAAGGAAAAAAAATAAGCCTTTTGTATCTTAATCCGTAAAAAATAATCAATATCAGATAAATAGGGCACTTGTTGCATATTGATAAATATGTGATTTCTTATGCTTTCCATCTGTATTGAGGAAAAAGTCCCCAGTAATCTTATCTTCCATTAGATCTAGCCGTAGAATGCTATTAAACATCTGTACAAAATTAACCTTTTCCTTATAGCCCGGTTCCGTATGAAAGTACCAACAAATTGTGAAGATTGTTTGCAAATGGTGATCCATAAAAATGTAGAATCAGCTATGGATTGTAATTCCTCATGTATAACAACTGTACAAAAATAATGTCAAATTAAAGGCAGTATTTGAGACAAGGAGAGGCCCATTCTCCCTGATCTTGCACCCTGTTAACAAGGAAAAGAAATGTCTGATGCTTCATCTATAAAAGACCCCTGGGTGGCCTTAACCTCCCGCGCTTCAGTAGATACAGTCTTCCATAGGTTCTTTGATATCTTCAGTTCTTCAGGCTGATTGTTGTCAGCTCTGGAAGCTTTGTGCCTTTCAATTAGTCTTTCTTACTTATGTCTTGCATTTTGGTAGCTCTGGGATTTTTTCTGACTGGAGCCTGGGGGTTCATATTGGAATATTTTATAGTTTCCCTCACTGCCATACTAGACAGTGGAACTGATTTTTTCACCATTCAGTATATTCCTGTGGTAACCCACCCCACCACCCCCCACCTCTGCCTAAATGCTTTTAAGATGGTGTTAACACACATCTCCCACTTCTTGTGTACACACACACACTCACACACATATTCACACACACACATACACACACCAGCTTTTTTCTTATCTCTTATCACACTTCCAAGAAAGCTACCATTTTATAGCAGCTCTTGCAACAAATAAGACCATAGTCTGGTTTCCAAAAAAGAACGTTTTTGACAACTCCTGAGTGTGACTGACACGTGGTGATTCCTGGGGTTTTCTCCTTGCAGGACATGTAGCTCTTGGATTTGAACTGCTGTTTACCTTTGCTCAAACTGTTTATTTGGGCTTCCCAGGTGGCACTGCTGAAAGGAACCCACTTGCCTGTGCAGGAGGCATAAGAGACACAGGGTTCAATCTCTGAGTTGGGAAGAGATTGCACTCCATTATTCTTGCCTGTAAAATCCCATGGACAGAGGAGCCGGGTGGGCTACAGTCCATAGGGTTGCAAAGAGTTGGACATGACTGAAGTGACTTAGCATGCAGGCGTGCACACTGTATATTTAGAAAATGGCTTATGTATTTTCTTCTGGCTCAGAGTTACTATTTACAGCCACACGTTTCATGGCAGTGATTGCCATGCAACATCAAAGCACCAGGCAGTAGTATGTCCTGCTAGTACTTCTTTAAGGCTTAGTTATTTCCTTCAGGTTATCCCATGGATAAGCGATCAGCCCCGTTGTTAGCGCTGGCCTGCATCATTTCCCTGCACGCTGGGGAAGATGAGTTTGGAGGCTGGACAGCACGTGGCCACAGGTCATCTACTCCGGGGTTTCCTTGGGCACTTTGTCCTTGTTTTTCTCCTGGCTTCACCTCCTCACCCTGCTGCTGAGGCCAGCAGCTTGCCCAGGTTGACAGTTCCCCAGAGACCAATAGCTCAGGTTCCCACCCTCCTCCCAGGGTAAAGAGGAAAGGGCAGCTCAGAAGCCCACAAGGATGTGTCGATCAGGGGAGCATCCTGAGCTCCAGCTGGAGACGCAGGTCCTGCTCTCAGAGGGGCAGGTGGATGCCCGTGGGAGCAGAGCGTGTGTCTCCACCTTGGATCTCACCCTGTGCCCACATTAGGCATTCCTTTCCCTCCAGGAAGACATGATTCTGGCCAGGAAGACGATGGTTCTTGCAGCTTGGTGCCCTCATCTTTTTTTTTTTAAAGTAGCTTTATTGTGATATAGTTCACATATCATACAGTTCATCCATTTAAGGTGTACAACGCATTGGCTTTTAGTATATCGTGGATATACTATCCATCTGTGATATGGCAACTATCATCACCATAATTTTTAGAACATTTTCATCACCTCAAAAATAAGCCCTAAGGACTTCTCTGGTGGTCCAGTGGCTGAGACTCCGAGCTCCCAATGCAAGAGGCCCAGGTCAGGGAACTAGATCCCACATGCTGAAATTAAGAGTTGGCATGCTGCAACTACTGATCCCACCTGCTGCATCTAAGACTTGGTATAGCGAAATAGAAGGAAACCCTACTGTTTAGCTACCACCCCCCATAACCTCATTTCCCAGCCCTTCAGGGCTCAGGAACCAGTAATCACCTTTCTGTCTCTATTTCTTTTTTTGTTTTCCTCTTCTGGAGTTTCATATGAATGGAATCATACATGGAATATGTGGTCTTTTGTGGCTCACTGAGCATGATTTCAACATTCATGTTGCAGTGTGAATCTTCATTTTTTTTTTTAATGGCTGAATAATATTCTCCTGTATGACGTACTAGGTTTTATTTATCCATTTGTCCATCAGTGGACATTTGGGTTGTCCAACATTTGGGCTGTTGTGAATTATGCTACTGTGAACATTTGAGTGCAAGTTGCTGTGTAGACATCTGTTTTCATTTCTCTTGGGTGTATACCCAAGAGTGGAATGCCGTGTCATATGGTAACTGTGGGCTTCCTAGGCAGTGCTAGTGGTAAAGATCCCCCCTGCCAATCCAGGAGATGTAAGAGACGCGGGTTCCATCCCTGGGTGGGGAAGATCCCCTAGAGGACAGCATGGCAACCGACTCCAGTAATCTTGCCTGGAGGATCCATGGAGAGAAGAGCCTGGTGGGCTACAGTCCATAGGGTCGTGAAGAGTTGGACATGACTGATGCGATTTAGCATGCATGCATCGTAACTGTATGTTTAATTATTTAAAGAACTTCCAAATATTTTCTAAAGTGGCTGCATCATTTTACTTTCCTGCCAACACACAGCGTATGATGGTTCCAATTTCTCCATATTTTTGCCACCCTTGTTGATCTGACTTTACACTTCTCTCCATCCTAGTGGGTGTGAATTCATGTGAGGTTTTGAAAGGACTGGGGAAGGATTTTTTTTCCTTTCTAATAGTTTTTAATGCCATGTATGTGTGTATGCACACACACAAACACACACATTGATGACTTCAAAGTGTGCCTTTTGCTAGTGTCTGTAAAAGCGCAGCTGCTAAGAGGTCCTGTTGCCTGTCACAATAATAAAGCAGATTTCAATATTTGTTAATCCAAAAATCTCACCGCCCAGAACCGTCGTGGGAGGCAGTGAAACGTGTGTGTTGAGAGGAGGAAGGGGAGTGAGTGGTGGGAGAGGTGGGGGCAGGTGGTGTGTTTCCTGGGACGAGCATCCTTCCCAGGAGACGGCTCCACTTGTCTCCGTGTCTGACGGGCCCCTCTGTCTTTCAGGAGGACTGGCGCTGGCCCAGGTGCTCTTCTTCTACGTGAAGTACTTGGTGCTCTTTGGGGTCCCGGCTCTGCTCATGCGCCTGGATGGACTCACGCCGCCGCCCCTCCCTCGCTGCGTGAGCACCATGTTCAGCTTCACCGGGATGTGGAGGTCAGTGCCTCTGTTTGCTGAGGTCCCCTGGGGATGTCCGGTGGGAGGAGCCGGGGCTTGGCCAGCCTCAAAGCTCCTGAGCAACCATCCTGTCTCTGCCCTTCACTCAAGTCGCCTTTGGCATTTAGGTGTTTTAATCTAACAGGTTGACAATCCATATTTTCTGAGCCTCTCAAATGTATTGTCAGGCTAAAAACTGGGAGATAAAGTTTCTCACCCAGTCTGTGTAAAGATGCACAAAGGGCTGTGTCTAAAGTGGTTTCTTACTAACTTGGGACATAATATATATATTGATGATTTTACTGCTGTCTGTTTTTCTTGAAAATGACATCTTTGTATGTGGGACTGTAGATTAAAAAAATAGACTTAATTTTATTTATTTAATACCAAAAACATTAAAAAAAATAGATTTAGTTAATAGTACAGGGCAGGCCTTTACTAGCTCTCCAGAGCAACATACTTCAAATGTGAGTTTCAGTTTTTTTGTCTTTTATATGGTAATAAAAATTATAATGGTACTGATAATACTTATCTCTAAAAGTCGTTTTGAAGATTAAAAAAGCTAACACACACATATAAAGCATCTGGCACACAGTAGGTGTCTACAAACGTTAGCTCTTATCCTCCTATAACTCCTGTACTCACCCACTTTGGATAGGCGGGTGCTTTTTCTGAGTGTTCTTAGTCTTCTTGATTTAGCCCCATGGATGTACAGTCGGCCTGGAGTCTCTGTTCTAAAAGATCGCTCGGCCCCCCGCCATTTCTGGCTGTTGCTCTCCAGATGGGCTCGCTTGCCGCTGGGTTTTATTATCGCTTCCAGTGTGGAACCCGTGGCAGGCTGGCGCTTGCAATTGCAAGCCTAATGTAAGAACCTGAGGGCGGGAACTCGCACATCTGTGGGAGGCAACATCTACTTAAATTGTGCTCTTTAGAAGCCTCCATTTGCACCCGCCCGCCCCTCACCCTGGTCCTGCTCAGAAAATCCGTTCTGGCTCATCCAGTCTTACATTTCATCCCTGAGTTCAGTGAGTATTGTTCTCTCCAATGTTGCTCTTGCAAAAGGGGTAGCTAACAGGCAATATCCTAGTTTTCCATCATAATTTATTACAGGGACTGAATTGATCTAAGCCTCCGTGAATGCAGTTTATTTTTGCTGCTGTCTGCTTCTTTGGATTGGAAATACCATCTGGTTATTGTAAAGAATGTAAGTAATTGCTCTGATTTGTCTTTAATTACTTCATCGAGTATCATAGGTTGCCCAGCTGCAATGGCAAATTTAGGAAAAGGGCTCTCTCTAGCCAGGAGGCCAGGAAGTGGTTTTGTTTGGAAGGTGAGCCTAATGGGAAGGCTTTATTCATTTTGACCTGTTCATAAGAGTAATTTACTGAATAAATGGGTGGGACTTAAGCATGACCTGGGGGTATGTCATGAGTCCCTCGTGGGCACCCAGCAAGGTTCCTCGGCATTCCTTGATGTGAATGCTTGTGCTCAGGCATTTCTTGGGAAGCACGTTCTCCTCAAGAGCTTCTCCACTGTTGGTTGGGATAATAAATAATCTTGACTCTTGGCAGCCATGCTGGCTCTAGGCTAATTAATTATTTTTTTGTCCAAGATCCTCTGTTGTGTACAAACTACTGAGGCACAGAAAACATGTCTGCCAAGACCTTTGTCATTCTTGTTAGAAACTGGGCTTGAGTAGTGTGGATGGACCCCGAGTTGTTGAAACCTTCTCTTCTCCATCTCAGTTACTGTGGGCAGGAGAGTAATCGTGAAGTTTCTCTTGAGTGACTCATTGGAGTGATGTGCTTCTGAAGCGAGCTGTATACAAGGGCATGTGATGAAATGGCAAACACGGTCCTTCCTGGGAGTGACTTCAACGTGTGTCCTGGCTTCTTTCAGCTTGCATGGGTGTGGATGTCCCCCATCACATGTGCTTTAGCTTCTTAAGGGTTTTCTGATTTGCCACTTGTATTTAGAGACACTCAGGGCTTCACTCTTGGTATACAGTAACTATTCCACATCAAGTTGCTGAATTTAGGAAGGGAGATGAACTCTTTCTGAGGAATTTGGTGCACAGTTAAGGTTCAGAAGAAGCAGTTTTTAACTGAGAAAAGAAGGAATAAAACTTATAGATTCTCCTTTGTACTCTTTCCTCTAGCCTTAGTTTACTATGTTCATAGTCAGGATCTGGTCGCATAACCAACAGTGGCCCTGGCCCCCATCTTCTCTGACTTTTCTCTGTAAGAAGACACGTCAAGGGAAAGTAAAATTTTGAATTTGTAGTTTCTATTTACATCTAAAGGCCTTACAAATAGCTGTGAAACAAAGAGAAGCGAAAAGCAAAGGAGAAAAGGAAAGATATTCCCATTTGAAAGCAGAGTTCCAAAGAAGAGCCAGGAGAGATAAGAAAGCCTTCCTCAGTGATCAGTGCAAAGAAATAGAGGAAAACCTAGAGATCTCTTCAAGAAAATTAGAGACACCAAGGGAACATTTCAGGCAAAAATGGGCTCAATAAAGGACAGAAATGGTATGGACCTAACAGAAGCAGAAGATATTAAGAAGAGGTGGCAAGAATACACAGAAGAACTGTACAAAAAAGATCTTCATGACCCAGATAATCACAATGGTGTGATCACTCACCTGGAGCCAGACATCCTGGAATGTGAAGTCAAGTGGGCCTCAGAAAGCATCACTACGAACAAAGCCAGTGGATGTGATGGAATTCCAGTTGAACTATTTCAAATCCTGAAAGATGATTCTGTGAAAGTGCTACACTCAATATGCCAGCAAATTTGGAAAACTCAGCAGTAGCCACAGGACTGGAAAAGGTCAGTTTTCATTCCAATCCCAAAGAAAGGCAATCCCAAAGAATGCTCAAACTACCACACAATTGCACTCATCTCACATGCTAGTAAAGTAATGCTCAAAATTCTCCAAGCCAGTCTTCAGCAATACGTGAACCAAGAACTTCCAGATGTTCAAGCTGGTTTTAGAAAAGGCATAGGAACTAGAGATCAAATTGCCAATATCTGCTGAATCATCGAAAAAGCAGGAGAGTTCCAGAAAAATATCTATTTCTGCTTTATTGACTATGCCAAAGCCTTCGACTGTGTGAATCACAATAAAGTGTGGAAAATTCTGAAGGAGATGGGAATACCAGACCACCTGACCTGCCTCTTGAGAAACCTGTATGCAGGTCAGTAAGCAACAGTTAGAACTGGACATGGACCAACAGACTGGTTCCAAATAGGAAAAGGAGTATGTTAAGGCTGTATATTGTCACCCTGCTTATTTAACTTATATGCAGAGTACATCATGAGAAACGCTGAGCTGGAAGAAGCACAAGCTGGAATTAAGATTGCTGGGAGAAATATCAATAACCTCAGATATGCAGATGACACCACCCTTATGGCAGAAAGTGAAGAGGAACTGAAAAGCCTCTTGATGAAAGTGAAAGAGGAGAGTGAAAAAGTTGGCTTAAAGCTCAACATTCAGAAAACTAAGATCATGGCATCTGATCCCATCACCTCATGGGAAATAGATGGGGAGACAGTGGAAACAGTGTCAGACTTTATTTTTTTGGACTCCAAAATCACTGCAGATGGTGACTGCAGCCATGAAATTAAAAGATGCTTACTACTTGGAAGGAAAGTTATGGCCAACCTAGATAGCACATTAAAAAGCAGAGACATTACTTTGCCAACAAAGGTCCATCTAGTCAAGGCTATGGTTTTTCCAGTGGTCATGTATGGATGTGAGAGTTGGACTGTGAAGAAAGCTGAGCACCGAAGAATTGATGCTTTTGAACTGTGGTGTTGGAGAAGACTCTTGAGAGTCCCTTGGACTTCAAGGAGATCCAACCAGTCCATCCTAAAGGAGATCAGTCCTGGGTGTTCATTGGAAGGACTGATGCTGAAGCTGAAACTCCAATACTTTGGCCACCTCATGCAAAGAGCTGACTCATTGGAAAAGACCCTGATGCTGGGAGGGATTGGGGGCAGGAGGAGAAGGGGACGACAGAGGATGAGATGGCTGGATGGCATCACCGACTCGATGGGTATGAGTTTGAGTAAACTCTGGGAGTTTGTGATGGACAGGGAAGCCTGGCGTGCTGCGATTCATGGGGTCGCAAAGAGTCGGACATGACTGAGCGACTGAACTGAACTGAACTGATTTACATCTAATATCTCTGGGCCATCACTGAGGCATTGCTGCAGACTGGATATTGCTCCATCCCCTTCCTGGGTTTAGGTTCGTGTCGAGTTGAGTCATAAGCAGCTGTGTAAGCTGGTGATGCAGATTATTCTGCTCCATTGTGGCCACCACTCACACAGTGACTCAAAGGGCACGGTGGATGGGAAATGGAGGGAAGAGGTTTAAAAACCATCTCCAGAGATTGTTTGGCTTCTAGAAAATCCACACTGAATGAGGTTTAGAGCTGAAGATGAGAGATGGATTTTTAGCCCCCCATTTGAAAGGAGCCATACACATCTGAACACCGTGCCGATGGACTGCACTATCAGTCCACTTAGCAGTGAGAGAAGACTTGAAGCCAGCAGCCTACTGTAGCAGAGGAATCTGAATTCTAGATCACACAAGAGATGAAATTGGCCATCAGCTGAGAGATAATGTTCCTTGACATGATAGTTCAAATTGATCATGAAAAATTGCTATTTGCTGAGACGGCTCAAACCTGAAACTTAGGACCTGACTGACAGATTTATTATATATATATATGTATATATATATATACACACACATATATATATTTTTCCTACTTGCTCTTCTGCTTTGTATAATTCTTGCTCAAATATTTGCAGGCAGAACAAATGGCTAAGGGGCCTGTGTTTTCCCACTTGTGTGATTTTTCTGTGGCTGTACAGACATGAGAAATTGAGAATTTTCTGCTTAATTTTGGGGCTTCATGTTTTATTTTAGGTAAGCTGAGGTCTGTAATGAGCATCTTTTGTCAGAAGTCATTAAAGATGATACTGCATGTC